CTGCAGCAGTAGTGCTTTTGGAACAGCAGCCTGGATTTTCATCCAGTCAATTAGTGCCTTGCTAATAAGCGAGGTAATATGCATGATTGATGATATTGCTTGAAACGTATGGTTTGCCAAATATTAGGCAAAAGGCAGGACATTTCGTTACAAACCGTTCAAGAATGTTTGTTCTAAACGACATTATCCATCAACAACGTGAGACAGAGCTAAAATACAGTCTGAAAACATCTGACAAGCCTTAACAACGGCTAACAGCACCAATTCCTGTTCTACTTCTTCAACATGGTTGTTAACAGCCAGATCCACCTGCCGCCAGCCCAAACATCGTCTGACAGCCCCATCACTGTTAGAGAATCTGTTAGGCTAACATTCCCTAACAGGCACGCCTGTTAGCCGCTGTTAGACCCCCTATGAGTTGGTAGGGTGTGTGAGACTCTGTGTGTGTGTGTGTATGTGTGTGTGAGACTCTGTGTGTGTGTATATGTGTGTGAGACTCTGTGTGTGTGTGTGTGTGTGTGTGTGAGACTCTGTGTGTGTGTGTGTCTCTGCGTGTGTGTGTGTGTGTGTGTGTGCATGTTTTCATGTTACTCCAAATCCACCATGTGCCCCAACAGTGCTGTTATTGTGTGGTTGTCTGTGTGTTCTTGTTACCCCAACATCACCTGCTTGTGTCTGCCTGTCTGTCTGTCTGTTTGTATACAACTACCCATCTGTCTGTTTGTCTGTCTATCTCGATAGATTAGGTACGTAGGCATGGATAGCTAGATGCAGATAGATGTAGGTAAATAGGTAGACCGTTGGCAAACAGTTGGCACACAACTGTTTGGTACACAGTTATTAGGACAGTTGGTGGACAGTTAGCAGACAGTTGACCCACAACCGTTGGCAGACAGTTGGCACACAACTGTTTGGTACACAGTTATTAAGACAGTTATCAGACAGTTGTAGGCATTTGGCAGACAGTTGACCCCACAACCGTTGGCACACAGTTGAGCAGGCTGTGGACAGACAGTTGGGCAGGCAGTTGCTGACATGACAGGTGGACAGTCAGTCGGTTTCAAGCCACATGGTTGATGGGACAGTTAAAATCAGTACGTCGGTTGTTAGTCAGTTGTGAGACAGTTGGAAGGCAGTTGGTGGGCAGTTAGCAGGCAATCAGGCAGATGATGTGGTGGCAGACACTTTATGGGCACTTACTAAGTAAAAAAAATGTAGTTACCGCAGGCACACACATTATTGTTGGTGGTCAGGACACTAGTAATATATATATAGGTGGGTTGGCAGTTGGCAAAAAGTCAAGTCAATACACAGTTCAGAGGCAGTTGGCTGACAGATCGGAGACAGTTGGCCAAACAGTTGCCTGACTGTTGAAAAACAATTCGTGGTAGGTCGTTGGGAGGAAGTTGATGAACACAGCTAGCAGACAGTTAGGAACACGCGCTGAATTTAACTGGCATGGCCACACCGAGGCATGGATCCATCCGGATGGGAGTGTGGGCTACACAGCAGCCTGGCTCCTGTGCAGCAGGGGCCAGCAGCCTTCTTTCTGGTATCAAGGATCCAGTACTATCGGTGGCAGCACAGCGCAGGAAGAGGACACGATGCTGCCCAGACATTGCTTCACAGGGAGGAGGGGCCTGTGTGTAGTATGAGAAATGTTAGTCTGAAGCACTGCTGCTGCTGCGGGTGATTGTGATGATGATGTTGAGACATTTAGTCAGCTACAGACTGTAGTCCTTTGCCCTGTAGCTGCGATGTGCACATATGATGGCAGCACTGCATGAGCATATGAGCATGTGTATGTGTGGGTGGCCAGGACGGAAGGGGATTGTAGTGCTAGAAGCATATATGTAATCGTTTGAGGCATGACGATGAGCTTCATCCCCATCCATGGCGTAGGCATCTGGAGCAGTGTTGATGATGGCAGCATAAAAAGCATACAAGCTATACTATACTACAGCTTCTGCTCGTGCTTTTAGCTGCAATGTGGGACTTTGTGCCTCAAGGACATACAAGACAA